GAACACGTTGTCATCATTGTGGTTGCTACCATCAGTTGTGGAACAAATTTTTTTTTGTCCGATATCCATCCTTTGCATATATGCTGTTGTCAGTGTTGTTAACTGAACAAGGAGAAATATCACTCCATATATTGGTCTGATACATGCATATTTCCTAGCAATTGTGCTTAGTTGGAAATATAAATCAAGACAATTTTCCAGCATGATCTGTTAGAGCTAGAAGGAGATTATACTCAATTAAAAAAACAGAAAACTGTTTCTGCCAAAATAATTTCATTTTCCTTATGCTTCTAGGAAAAGAAAAATTTTGTTTTTGCTTATACTTGCTATAGCAGACACAGTGGTTTTTACGTTTTAGTATTCTTTTGTTTCAACTATTTTTAATCATTAATTCTTCCTCTACTGATCTTAAAATCCAACACCACAATTCATTGAACGCATAGCACTAATGCAGTCTAAATCCTTTAACAAACTGCTATGTAATTCACCCGACACTCTGAAAAGAACATTTCCTCTTTTCTTGTTCCATTATGACAGAACTTTCTATAATCTGCAATTATTTCTACCCTACAAAACACACAAATGCGTGAAGGACGAATTCAGGAACTCTATCAGCATCATGAGGAGAAACAGGGAGACCAATGAAAACATGCTGACCTTCCAAAGATACAACATAGCATAACATACTGTACAATAAAATATCTAAATTATATATTTCCGGTGTCTTCTGGATGCATTCTGTAGGGGAAATAGTTTCTTATATTCTCCTGTCTCTTGCTTCACAGGAAACACTGTAAACATGACATTTCTCAATCTGAGCTTTTTTTTTTTTTTTTAATCATGTTTGATTCTTCAAGGCATTACACTGATATTATGTCAATGCCAATCAACTGGCACTTCCCTAATTTAGGTGTCCCTTTCTCATTTCTACAGGGGGAACACACTTTCAAACATCTTTACCAAGGAAGGCTAAATTGTACCAGTTCACAACACACTTTTATTTTGTTTTTTTTTTAATTTGGATACCCAATATTTGGTCATATAGATCTGCAAACTTTGGTAATGTGAAACCACAGGCGGATAAACTCAAGGGTCATCCGCAGCAGCTTGGAGTCAATACCAGTACCATCTTTTTCTTAAACATTCCATGAGAATTTCTGCTCTTACACCACAATGAATTATTGTTTTCAACAGAGGCCTCAATTCTCATGGTCTACTGTCAGGCAACCCCAAGGATGCTGGGGAAAACAACAGCAGTAGAAGGAGAATTCATCTGCAAGAGTTTGTCATCACCCAATATTTGTGACTTGTTGCCACATACATTTATGGAGGGATGGAGAAAGAGGATGAGAGGCCTTCCACTGGCTGGCTGATGTACCAAGCAGAGCCAACAATAAATATTTATTTATAAAAAACATACATGCACCTGTGTTGCGTGTACACACTAACTATTATACATCCAGAAAAGTACAGTACAACCTTACAAATTTCATAGAAAAAAAATTCATCATAGTCTGTGAATCAAACAATAAGAATTCATATCCCAAATCCCAAACTATGCTAAATTCATTTATTTGCCAAGTAAAGGCAATTTGTTTTAATTAATTATCATACTTCACAGCATGTCAGCAAATATGCAGTCACTGATGGTGTAAAATGAAACCTCAATAAAATGAGATTCCTCACTACAGCTCTATTAATTAAATCCTTACGGAAATGTCTGTAAAACATCTAGATTTTTTTGGTGAGAAACACTGGGTTTGTGGATTAGCAAACTGAAAAGCAGCAAAGTTCTGCTGTATTCAGATATACTTCCATTCTGCTCCTCTATTGACACCAATTAAAGTGTTCAGAAATAGAGCCTTAAGGTTTAACAGAGAAGCAAAAAATGAGATACATGCTCAGCTGACAGTTCTTTTGTTATCCTGCAACAGAAATGGTAGCGTTTTACTACAAAGGCAAATGCAGCAGGTCTCAATAGAATTCTTAAAAAGAAAAGGAGTACTTGTGGCACCTTAGAGACTAACCAATTTATTTGAGCATGAGCTTTCGTGAGCTACAGCTCACTTCATCAGATGCATACCGTGGAAACTGCAGCAGACTTTATATACACACAGAGAATATGAAACAATACCTCCTCCCACCCCACTGTCCTGCTGGTAATAGCTTATCTAAAGTGATCATCAGGTTGGGCCATTTCCAGCACAAATCCAGGTTTTCTCACCCTCCACCACCCCACACAAATTCACTCTCCTGCTGGTGATAGCCCATCCAAAGTGACAACTCTTTACACAATGTGCATAATAATCAAGTTGGGCCATTTCCTGCACAAAATCTGACTCTAAACCAAGCGTTAAAATAAAGTTACATTTTAATGAACTATTAAGTTGTTCCCCCCAACAGAACCCTCGATACAGCAGCCAACTTTACTTATTGCTCCATCTTGTCTTTTTTACACTGGTTTATCCCTCTCACTACTCTAATACTTTGCTTCATTCTTCATTATCACTATCTTTCGGCTTTTTCAGCATTGTTCCTCCATTTCAGGTCTGTGGTATCATTCACTGTTTATCAAACTACCCCTATAAAACTTTATACTCTAACTGTAGAACCCTGTCTCTATACAATATCCTTGGCAAGCCCTATTCCAGTCAAAAAGGCTCAAAAGGCTTGTCTTCACTGCAACAGGCAACGTAAGTTAGTACACTTGAGTTACCCCACTCCAGCTAGCCTAGCTTGAGTGCAGTGAAAGTGTCTGCTCTATAAAACATTCAAACTACATAACATGATTTGATTAGCAGGACAGAGTGAGAGGATTAGCATCCGATGAGTTGTTGGAAGCTCAAGCTGCTGGAAACTCACTCCATTACTAGCTCCAGCATCAGTAGCACTTGAGATTCAACTCACACCTTGATGCTCAAACTTAAAGCACTATTTAACTCGAGTTTAGAGATTTTTGTGTGTGCACAGGAGTTGGGTAAAACTTGAATTATACCTGGAGCTAATAATGCTGTGAAGAGACATCCTAATTCTATGGTCACTGCCCTCTTTTTAAAGTATAACATACTCCTCTGACCTCAATGTATGAAGTCTGCTCTTGCCTTACCAGTAGTTTTTCTTTTCCCAAATTTTCCAAACACAAATCACTAACTTCAGTGTAATGCATTTATAAAGGGTCTACAATCCCTTCTGGGAGTTGATGAGGGCACTGGGAGCACAACCAATAGCACACTCCCCCTACCCCTGAGAATGCCCACCGCATGAATAGAATTGAAGTTTCATCTGATCGGAGGGTTGAAGAGAAAGTGTATTGGGACTGAGAAGTTGGAGGAAGTGAAAGAATCACAGAGCAACTGCACAACTGGCTTCTTGAGATCAGAAGGCAACACTATATTCTGCTTCAAAAACTCTAGAAGTTTTAACTTGCTGAGTTTTCAGAGCACTTTTTTCAGTGGGAGGGGTGAACCTGGCCCTAAGCAAATGAGAATGTACTCTTTGAATATCCTAAAGGTTAAATGAAGAGCAGATTCCCTTCCAACACCTGAGATCATGGATCTATGTTACTTCTACAAAGTGAAATACATCATCAGTTGCAACAGAGAAGGTAACAGCATTTCTCACTTGGCTGTAAAAGTTGTAGGTATGTCATTAAATAAAGCAAGAAAAGTACAGGGTTCTGAATTCAGGATTTGACAGCTAAGAGAAAAAGGAAACAATTTTCAAACATAAAAAATATGTGTTTGAAAATGAAAATATATTTACTATTTTAAGGGGAAAAATTCTGTTAATGATGTTTTTAATACCAAGACTTTGCTGTTCTTTGAATACATTTTCTGAACTACATTTCAGTTTGGACAATTCAAATATATTCTTTGTATACAGCAGCGGTCACTCAAACTGTGACGAGTGTCCCCCTAGAGGGGTACACAGAAACATTCTGGGGGGAGGGTGGTATCGGGGGAGGGCCTGGTCCAGCCCCAATGGGGGGCAGGGAGGGAGCATCACCTAAGCAGCTGCCCCCCCCGCCAACAGCTCTGCCTCTCCCCCTCCCCCTCCCCTGCAGCTCTGCTCCACACCCCCAATCTGGCCCTGGCCCCGACTGAGGGAGACTTAAAGGAACTAGATTGTCAAAGGGCAAGTGTTTAGCAGTTTCTAATAAACATTCCCATTTTAATGTCTCTCATGCTGAGCACCCAAACACTGAGGCACACAAAATCACTAGTCACTTTTTGAAAATTTAAGCCTGAGAGTTTATCTATTGGCTTTCATCTATTTGATCAGGTTTGGAGTGTGGTGATCAGTTGTTGCTCATTATTTTTAACAGGAGCTGATTTGCCTAATATGGTGTATTACAGATTCATTGCTGTGAATAAACTGCTTGAATTCCCAAGTAGTCAACTAGAACAAAAGAGAGATAAGGTGGATGAGGTAATATCTTTTATTGGACCAACTTCTGTCAGTGAGAAAAACAACAGAAGTTGGTACAACTAAAAGAGATTATCTTCCCCACTTTGTCTCTCGAATATCCTGGGACCAACACAGCTACACCACTACTGGAAAAACAACAGAGGTACATCTTGGATTAAGCTAGTCACCATCTATGGGCATGTCCCGTGTTGTGGCAAACACTGTAGCATTTAAAAAACAAAATGGGCTTAAAAAGCTAAAAAAGTAAATTTGCTTGTAAATAGCATCCATTACCATATATATTACTATCCATTACTCTCTCTCTCTATATATATATATATAAATGGATAGTAATATATATGGTATTGGATATATATATATATAGATATATATCTATATAGCAGAAATAGAGACATTACAGAGTTTCCCTCACTATATTTGCGGCTCGCACAGCCATACAAAGTAATAAGCTTGGACTGGTAAACATGGATAGGACACGAGACCACCAGAGAAAGGAACATTCCACAAGATAAATATCAAAATCAATGGAAGTTTTTAAAATTTTATGAGTAAAACTTGTTTTAAAATCCTACCTGATTTGCTCGTTCAAGGTCCGTCATGATCATCTCAATTTCATCAGCCCTGGAAAAAGAAAGAGCATAAGCACTGTTACTATATGGTGAAGAAGAGTCTCTAGGCTGTGTGTTTTCAGTCTATTGTGCAATTTTTAACATTCATATAGAAAAATACCAGATTGAAATAATATTTTAAAAGGCTACAGTTAAGTCTGAAAGACCAAACTTTTCACCTATTAGTTCTATTTTGGATCTCACTTGTGCATACAGGTATGTACTTCCCTCTTACCCACTGTGCATGTAAGATCGTGAAAAAGAATTATGTTATCAATTTGCTGCTTTAGGATCACTACCATTATACATTTTATCTAAAAATACTTGGCTTGCAAACTTTAAGAAGTAAAACAAAACAATTTTACAGTACTTAGCACAGATTACTCAAAAGGTGAGATTTTTGGCCTCTGAATCATGAAAAAATTAAAAATACTGAAAAAAGATTAAGGTTGAAGGTGCTTCAGTTCTGCTGGGGTGTCTAAATATAATAGCATTCTCCAAACATCTGGCCATTTTACATTCTGTCCTGGAAGTGCTGCAATAGCTGGGCAAAGTGAAGGAAGTAAATAGAAAAGTTTCAAATTTACATCTGAATTTCCTAATTTTATGTTTTTGACCATATTTTAACATTTATAGCAATTTTCCTCTTTTTAAAATTTCATTCAAAATTTTCAAGAAATGAGACACCAGGAAGTTTAAAAAAAAATTAAATATAGATTTAAAGTATCAGACAGTATTGTTAGTTTAGAGTGAGGCCCGTAATACATTTTACAAAAATTGGTAAGTCTGTTAAAGGGTTACAGAAATATTAGTAGTTAAGGAAAAGCAGTCCAATCAAACAATTCATATACATGTACTGAGTGCTGGCTATCTTAGACAACTAGCTTTACACACGCAAACTCTTGCCCCTGCATGGAACCCCACTGATTTCCATGGGACTCTGTCCACTTGGATGCAGTTTTAGGATCAGAGCCCTACAGGATGAGGATAAAAGTGGTCTCTATTTTATGCAAACATCTTTTTGGGGAGGTGGGGGTGGGGGGAGGTGTCCTGGTAACAGGATATCATCAGTGAAGGCTTTTAGACTCTGGGATTTCCTCCTTCTGCTGGTGCAAAACAGTCGCCATTTGTTTTCCTGTGGGCATGCAGTAAGGCCCATTTATTCGCTTGGGTCTGTGCTAGGAGAGGGGTTGCAATAATGCAATTGTTTTAAACTGTATCCCTTACTTCTAATATTCACAGGAGCGCCAAGAATTGCCTTTTGAGGTCTCCTTTGGATAATATAGAAAACAGACCAACATGTGTTTTGTGGTGCAATCTTTTCTCTTTTGGCATGAGCTGATGAACTGTTATACTGGGAAGAAGACATGTGCAAGATGTTCTGAATTACTAATATGCATTATTTACTAGGCTATATATTTTCTCTTGGCACAAACATAGTTCCAAGTGATTAGGTACCAATGACATGATGAACTTGGAGAGGTTATATGAGCTTGTGATTACTTTTATCCTTTATGCCAGTTTTGAAACAGAAATCTTTTTTTAGCATCAAGCCTGAAAAGTCTGTTCCCACTGCTAAACCTACATTAAAATGAAACTATTTTTAGAAAGGGATTTTCATATGGAAAACAGTGTCTCTTAACAAGATAAGTACCAGAACATTCAAATGATCAAATCAGACATCTCCAGTGATGTATCAGGTGGAAGAGGTCAAGTTAAAGCACTGAAGAAACTGTTGTTTTATCTCACTTGAGAAAAAAAAATCTTTTTGGCTCTTAAAAGAAAACTTCAGTGTAATAAAAGAGATTTTTATTATTATAATTGTCATTCATTTCAAGCCAACAAGATTTCTGGCTCCAAACATAAGTAGAAGAAGACAGTCTCTGCCTGCAAGATTACACTCTAATATAGACAGACGTAACAGTTCAGACACATACAGAGCATGAAATGCCGGTATGAGTTGGAGGTGGCGTAAAAGTCCAGCACCGGTCATTTCTTAAAGACTTTTTTGAAGAAATGTATTTTAAGGAGGAGGGAAAGGTTGTCTGGTACATGGGAACAGGGAGAATATTCCAAACACAAGGAACATTGTGAGAGGGGGATACAAAACAGGGAGGCAGGAGACACGCTTGGGACAAGAAAAGGGAGCAGAAGTAGAAAGAAGGGAAAACAGAGATGTAAGCTGGAGCTGAATGCAGTGCCTGACAGGTGAAGACAAGGTGCTTGAACTTTTTTAGGACAATCACTGTATCTAATTACAAAGAAGTATAAATCCCAGTATTTTAAAGCAATAGCATATTTGGGACAGAATTTAAGAGACCTAACATAGCACTGTTGGGGACAGTCACGTACAAAAGGCTAAACAAGGCCGCAGGACTCTAAAAATAGCGATTCAAGTTCTGTAATCTCACTGATTACAGTGGGAAGTGTCCACCTGTATCTAAGGGCACCTTTATTGGTATATTCAGCTATATACCACCTGACTAATTTTGAGATGTACTTCTTTCACACAGATATTTGTCCTATCTTGCTTTTCTACTTCGTAATACTTCTGTATAAATCTAATAAAAAGATGCAAACTTCCCAACAACTTCAAAATAAACATCTCTAGTGTAGCAATCTGAACACCCAGTGAGGCAGTGCTGTAACCACAAATATTATCTTTAAGGACAGTAATGAATTAAATTACTGTATGCTCTTTCCAAGCATTTCCAAGAGCAAGTGTCAACAGCATTCAGAAAAACCTTCAAAAGGATTCATTCTTTTCATTTTAAAAGCTCAACTACCACATCAATAGCTGGCATTCCGACAGTGTAAAATCACTTATTTCTGAAAGTCTCTAATAGCTATGTACATTGTTTTCTCAGCAACAGTATTTAATATAAAAAAAATTCAAGTTCTCTCACCTTTTTATGAGCTTATAAAAACAAGCTTTCATTTATTTATTACTTACAAGACACTATGTAATGCTCAGCCTTCAAGGCAGTGGATAATTCCATTTTGGTCTAGAAAATAGCTCACTGAATCAGAATCACAAAGGTCATTCCAGTGCACACTCTGTATGGGCTAGTTTCTGCCACGTTTGCTCACTTTGAGTAAACTCTTTCAACAGTTCCATTTATTTCAGTAGAACTGTTCAACAAGCACCGTACTACTCAACCAACCTAATGGGGGCAGAATCGGGTCCTATCGGTTTTAACTTAAAATCTGATAAACTTAAAAGAATATGATCAAGTTTAAATAACCATAAAAACTATGAATTGATCATAATCCTGGATCTGCAGATGGCTTCACACAGCTCTAAGAGAGGTGTGAACTGCCCTATTTATCTCAATGGGCTGTGAACTCTGTAAAAGAAAAACTATTTAACATCAACATTATTAGTTATTTCACTGCTGACCATTTTAGAAGAAACATCCAACTCATGTGTGATCCTGGGATAAACAACTGCCTCACTCACCCTTCTACTGTCCCTAAATCTAGAGCGCACTGAAAATGAAAATGTGGATCAGAATACAACCAATCTAATCAATCTTTTATGTCAATTTAATATTGACATAAAAAGGCAGGGATTACTGCTTTATCCATTGTTGTATTGAGTCTTCTGACAGCAGCCAATGCCAGGTGCTTCTGAGGGAATGAACAGAACAGGTAATCATCAAGTGATCCATCCCCTGTCATCCAGTCCCAGCTTCTGGCAAACTGAGGCTAGGGATACCATCCCTGCCCATCCTGGCTAATAGCCATTGATGGACCTATCCTCCAGGAACTTATCTAGTTCTTTTTTGAACCCTATTATAGTCTTGGCCTTCACAACATCCTCTGGCAAGGAGTTCCACATGCTGACTGTGCGGTGTGTGAAAAAACACTTTCTTTTGTTTGTTTTAAACCTGCTGCCTATTAATTTCATTTGGTGACCCCTAGCTCACGTGTTATGAGAAAGAGTAAATAACACTTCCTTATTTACTTTCTTCACAGCAGTCATGCTTTTATACACCTCTATCATATTCCCCCTTAGTCACCTCTTTTCCAAGCTGAAAAAGTCCCAGTCTTATTAATCTCTCTTCATACAGAAGACATTCCATACCCCTAATCATTTTTGTTGCCCTTTTTTGAACCCTTTCCAATTCCTATATATCTTTTTTGAGATGGGGCGACCACATCTGCATGCAGTATTCAAGGTGTGAGCCTACTATGGGTTTATATAGAGACAGTATGATATTTTCTGTCTTATCTATCCCTTTCTTGATGATTCCCAACATTCTGTTCATTTTTTTGACTGCTGCTGCACATTGAGAGAATGTTTTCAGAGAATTATCCATGACTCGAAGATCTCTTTCTGGAGTGGTAACAGCTAATTTAGATCCCATCATTTTATATGTATAGTTAGGATTATGTTTTCTAGTGTCCATTACTTTGCATTTATCAACATTTAATTTCATCTGACAATTTGTTGCCCAGTCACCCAGTTTTGTGAGATCCTTCTGTAGCTCTTCACTGTATGCTTGGGATTTAACTATCTTGAGTAGTTTTCTATCATCTGCAAATTTTTGCCATCTCACTGTTTACCCCTTTTTTCCAGATCATTTATGAATATGTTGAATAAGACTGGTCCCAGTACAGACACCTTGGGGACACCACAGAATCACAGAATATCAGTGTTGGAAGGGACCTGAGGAGGTCATCTAGTCCAACCCCCTGCTCAAAGCTGGACCAATCCCCAACTAAATCATCCCAGCCACGGCTTTGTCAAGCCTGACCTTAAAAACTTCTAAGGAAGAAGATTCCACCACCTCCCTAGGTAACACATTCCAGTGTTTCACCACCTTCCTAGTGAAAAAGTTTTTCCTAATATCCAACCTAAACCTCCCCCATTGTAACTTGAGACTATTACTCCTTGTTCTGTCATCTGCTACCACTGAGAACAGTTGAGATCCATCCTCTTTGGAACCCCCTTTCAGGTAGTTGAAAGCACCTATCAAATCCCCCCTCAACCGTCTCTTCCGCAAACTA